CAATTAATGTTATATATTGAGAAGATTTAGACAAGCACCTAACTCTTTCGATGATGTCGTTACAGATTTGTGTAACCTTAATGCCATTTAACAGTCTGATGGAATTTTAATATCTATTGTTTTCATATACTTGAGAAGGCAGTCTCTCACATCTTTTTTCACGCCGTGTTTTTTTAAATATGGTTAGGCAGACATACATTACTCCCGCATTTCTTCTAATGGACCTAAAAATAATAGCGTAATAATTATTTTCAACTAAGCTTTTAAATCTTTTTAATCAAGGATATTGCGGAGGCAACGTGTCAAATGATTCTAAACACCCTCTCGAGGCTTCTTCTTCAGTTAATTTAATTATGTCGATATTTCAATTTTGCTTGCCCTATTATTTAATCAATTATTATCTGTAAACATATATGACATGAAAAGTGTTGAAAACATAACTTATAATAGCATCAAGATATTAAAAACATTCTTCTCTTAATGGATTCTAAGGTTCAGAATAAAAACTTTACTCCTTACATAAAATAAATAATAAATTTTAAAATAAAATAAATAAATAAATAAATTCACAATGTTTCTTGAAATATTTTACTAGTAAGCGGTTCAGTGTAAAAGTACGAGCTCAAAATACAATGTCAGAGAATAGCTTTTATAAGAACAAAACCGAAATAATATTGACAGTTTACTTAGGTTTAAGAAAAATTATTTAAGTGAATTTATCTTAGAAGATCAGATGTTGACAAATAAATATTATGTCGAAGTTCTTTAACGATCTTAGATTTTAGAAAATGGCTTTAAGACGAGCAAAATCAGGAAAATACTATTGGTTTTCTTTGAATTAATAATAAATGTTCAAGTGAATTTGTGCCAGATCTTCAGACGATTAACACAGAATATAATCTTTGCAATGATCTTGCGCTAGAATTTAACAAGTTTGAGCGGATTATCTAAACCTGTTGTTTTGCGATTGTATGGTACATCAAGTTTTTAGGGTGCATGAGTCCAAGACCATAAAAGACGTCGTTGTTATTAATCTTTCACTATATTAAGCTGATTTTTCTCCATACTGATTTTAACTATCCTACAAACTGAAATTGACGATGAAGGAAAATTCATTCACACTCAACCAACAGCTTGGTTGTGAATGCCGAAAGTCGAAATAGGATAGTGCACTACATCTGCATAGTGCAATAAATCCCACGACGCATAATCCATAAAAATACTTGAAGTCTTTCCATCTGAACTTAATCAATCAATAACAGTTCCAATAAAATTTCAATGTTACTTTTTGAGAGGAATTGGAATATTCTATAGCCTTTACTTACCCATTATTAATATTATAGTCAAGATATATGAAATATCTCGCTACATATTTTATTCCCACTTGATGCTATTAAATTGCACTTCATAAATTAAACGCAAAAACCAGTATACAAGTAAATTGTGATAATTCAAAAATCAAATTAATGTGACAACTTTTTAAGTACATTTAAACATTTCCATTACAAGCTAACATGTGATATCGCAGCGAATTGCCTGCCAGCATAATTAATAATTTCCTTTCTATTCCTCGACGAATTATGCGACTGCACTACAATTTGTGTGGAGCAGTTAATGTGCAGCATTTTATGTGTGACACTTGAAATAAACAACAAAAAACCGCACATGAGATGCGCATAAAAAATAGCGACTTCGAATGCAACCAAGAAAATCCACAAAACGGCTGCATGTAGCGATTCGTGTGCCATCTAATGTCGTACAAGCATCTTTACACATTGGATTACAGATTTGCAGCACGGATGCAAGTAGCACCTACCGCCGCACCTATGCCACCGAATGCTGAATGACTAATTCAGCATTTATGCGCAATTATAAAGTTTGCCACCCAAAGTGTACAACATTTTTGAATTTTTGAAATTAAAATTCATGTCATTCGGCGTTAATCATTTGCGAAATTAAGCGATGAAGCTAATGCAGCGCCCCAAAAACGATTTATCAAAAATAAATCATTTTGACGAGTTGCAAGTGCAAAGTGCGCGTCGCGTAATTACCAGCAGCGAATGTTGTGTCAACGCAACATCAGCGCCCATCACGTACTGTACCTGTCGCATTGAGGTTGAAGTATTCATGATAAATTACAGATTAGTTTTCACATATCTGGCTGCAATGAATACAATAACGACGATGATGGTTATGATTATGATTATGATGGCAATGTTAACGGTGACGCTGAAGCTGAAGTTGACGATGGAATGATTCAAATCAAGCAAATTATCCAAATACTACTCATACGTATACGCAGCCGATGTCATTCCTACCCTAGTACATACTTGTGATAATGGTAAGTATAATGGTTGCAACTTTAGAGATTGGCCAAATTATATGTACTCATAAATTGTTGTGCGTAAGACTGCAATTAGCGCAGTGCTTCTTAATATTTTGATTTATTTCAATAGATACATTTTGTGTTTATGTGTGAGGGAATTGCATTTTATTTTTTAATAACATATAGTATTTTTAAAATTAAAACTTCACTACTTTTTATGATGTAATTATTTTCGCGTAATAAATAACATCGCCTTAGTCTTTAAAAGTAATAATAAAATTTCTTTGAATTATATTCTCAGACTAATGCAGACATTAGTTTTGTTTAGCTTCCGGGCATCTTGTAGATTTTCTGCTTCTTTAACTCAAATTAATGATGTTAACACACGCACCGGTGCGGTGCGTCAATTCAATGGCTGCGATTATGTTTAATTAATGCGCTCCACATTGCAATTTCGGTTGGTGGTTGGGCATAAGTGGGTTGACCGTCGTCTAAATGTATTTTCATACAACAAATAATATAATAAAATTCTTCAGTTTGATATGTAAATAAAACCTAACCAACCAAAAAGCTATAATTATGCACATAAAATAATGATATGCTTATAGTTGAAGCATTTTACACAAATTGGTATGTAATAAAAATTAAATTCAAATAAATAAAATTAACACTGGTAATAATATATACATAATGTATGGTGAATTATATGTTGAGCTGGTAATTATTACAGTAACCATCTTAACTTCATACAACATATTTTTAATAAAAACGCCTTCTTACTATGATAGATAATATAGGAATACGTAGCTATGCATACATTTGAATGTTTGTTTATGCTTAACTGTACGTTTTCAGTTTGTAAAATAATAATAATGTGTATTAAAACTGAATTTAAAAATGAAACTGTATTCTGAACATGTGTATACTACATAATTTGTTATATAAAAAATGGCGAAAAATAATAAACAAATTAAAACAATTAAATATAATTAAAAATAATTATGTTTTTACACCCACCGATGATTGCATTTCTTATTTTATTTGTTCTAAAGAAATAACAATCAATCTTTAAACAATTGCTTCATTCAAAACTTATAAATATATTAACTTATCTTAAAGTTAATGTTGTAAAGACAAGAAAATTGAGTTTAGTGTAATTCAGTGAACGTGAAACAGTTTCATTTTGTATATGTTTATTGAAAATACTTTATATAGAATCAAATATCTAATACAGAATTATAATACAGTTTAAATTTATTAGAAAACAGAACACAAGGAAGATAAGACCGCACATATTAACCAATGAAAAACATACAAATAGGAGAATGTGGTTACTCCACCTTAAATTTATTACTTTTCTCGATTATCTAAGAAAAACAGATAAAGAGAGTTGAATGCCTTCAAGCTTAGAAAATTTTAATTTGAAAATCTCAGTCCATTTGATGTTTATAAAAAAATTGTATTTTAATCTTAAATTTTTAGCACATCAATCATTTTTATTGCATATCATCATTTTTATTTTAACACATACATATCAACATTGCCTCTAAAATTACTAAAATAGCACTGAACAAACTAACAATACCGTTGAATATAAGAATATATTACTATCTTAAGTTGCGTCAATTAATTGTAGTTTCGATCACACTCTACTGAGACCTCCTAGATATTTCATTGGTTAAAACATCAATGCCTGGCAAGCTCTTAATAGATGTTTTCCATTGCTATTTTCTTCCTTAAAAAATTCAACAGATTCTATGAAAAAATAATTCTCTATTTTGTCTATTGATTCTTAAGTTGTTTTTATAAAATATAGTTAAATAAAATCACTAATTGGTTGTTTTTAGTATTGATATAGTTTCTGCTTTCATCCAGGCATGTTGGGAATCTCCTCTAAGACCATTAGTTCCAATATTTCTGTAGTGGAATGTCGTAATCCTGACAGGTCTAAACATTTACAAACAATTTTTTAATAGAATATGGTGATTCATGGTTATATCTCTAAATCATGAAAGATTTAAGATCGTAAATTTAAGATTAGTCCATGTTTTTTAAACATGACTTTAAGTGATCAAAAGACATTCAGTTTTTTCATCTAAGAAAGAAACGTCCTTCATTATAAAGTTCTTAATATCAAATTGAAAATACAGTTCCAATAAATCTTTTGGCCCTGCCGAGGTCAAATATGAAATACAATGTAATTGAAAATATATAAAATAAAACGTAATGCGTATAGGCAGCGCTTGAACATCCTTACTTGCCGACGTTTGCAATCAGACTGTCCTCACTTATTTTTGACACTTTCATTCGATGCCGAGTGGCTCTTTCTAACCGCGAGTTGTCAAACCAATATGTACAGAGGTGTTAGATATTCCCAACTCCTCACCAATGAGGAAGTTATCTATAACCATATAATTAACCATTATCGGCACATTTTCTTGACACCTGTGTTAAAAAAATTGTGGTGTTAACACTTCGCGACAGTTAATCACGTTAAATAAGTTTAAACTTCTTACGCGGATAAAAAACAGATGATCACAATGAATGTAGTGGGCGAAACATACCTATATTAAGAGATCAAAACAATATCAACAACAAACATTAAATTATATCATCGTATTCAAAGTTGGCATTGCCAACGCAAATAATTAATCAAATATTCAACATCTCGTACTCGTCCCTTTGGTTGATCACTCCAAAGCAAACACGGTCTATCTCTACTCATTTTTCTTCCAGCTGCCCCTTCAAATACTTCTCGTCGCTGAATTGTCATCATTCATTCGCACGACATGACCAAACCAGCAAAGTCAGGATATTTACCAGTGGATATTTATTCACTGAATAATATCAGTATCAGAGTACAGCTCGTACAGTACGCGGTTAATTTAGATACAATGGTCTTACGAAAACTTTTCTCTCGAAAAGTTTCAGTGCTGCTTCATCATATGTTACTGTTATAACATGCATGCTTTCTCTCCATATAGAAACACAGCATGAGCGACCATGGAGCATAAATTTGGTTTATCGGAAGAGAGCTCTATATCTCAATTGCCACAATCTATCAATCAAAATATTTTTTATATCTTATCCTCATTATCTTAAGAACTTGGACCGCTACCACTAATTGTTCAAATCACTTTTCTAGTTGCAGTAATTTTAATTTTCTAAAGAACACATTGCAATATTCCATTCATAATTTTAAGATCAATTATTTTATTTATTAAAATTTCCTCAAAACAATTTTATCTTTTGCTGATCTTAGTCTTTTAGGTTCATCAAAATGTTGTTGTAGAAATTATTTAAAGATATTTTAGAAATACTTTCAGTTTTCAATTTTCTTATATGTATTGCAGCCAAACTTTGATAAACAATTTATTTAAATGGCCAAACAAAAAAATTACAAACGAATTCGGGTCATTTCTCAAAACTAATTTAAAACGACTTAAACAAATTAAAACACTTTTTAAACAACACTTGAAAATCAACAAAAAGAAACAAATTGTGCACAACTGTTAACATTGTTGCCTGAGTGTATAATTTTAAAAAAATTAGTTCAAATTCATGACAAACTCACTTCTGTCAACACAATTTAAAAGCAATAATTAATAATGTCTGCTCTGTCTACAATGTGTACCGAAGCTACTCTGCGGAGCAGATTTTCCAAATTTCGTAAACTTTTATTTATTCTTCAATTAAGATTTTGTAGGTATTGATTTTGTTAACACAATTTATCTGATAAATACAAAAAGCTTTCAATAAATAGTTTGCATTAAACTTTTTAATTCCTCTTTTCAATCAGATCCTGGGATATTTAAAGGACTGATTGAATAAATTATTTAAGTCTTGACAGGTTCCCTTAGTTTCCAAATAAAATAATAAAAATTACTGGAAATTAAATTAAGTATGTGAAAATAAGGTCCTATCTTTGGACCAATTGCTTGTGTAATAGTTATATTCAGAATTTATATCATTTTTATCATATTATAGAGTGATTTATATATATAAGTATAGTTTTTGATATTTGATTACTAAATTTATATTAAAATTAAAGCTGAATAAAAGAATAAAGTAATAAATACCAAAAAAATTACAGTCCTATTCTTCGAGCATTTTGGAAATCTAATACTTTGTGCACCTTTCTTGCTAGAGATTTTCGCTGATATATCAGTCTTGAGATATCACGGGCAATTTCCGCTTTAAAACCGAAAAGAAAATACAGGTGAGATGATGTTTAAGCGGCTGTATTCGTTACATCTTATTAACAAGTCTTTGCATTTGTGAAATTTTGATTTTAATCCTCCAACTACCTGATCAAACTTTTTTTTGCTTTGCTCAGGAATATAGGATAGTATACATACCATGCTTAGGGTATTAGACATTTTTATGTCTAAATTCTCATGATATGTTTTCCGAATAGATCAAACAAAATGCTTACAGCCTCTGTAAGTTGTTAGATTTTTATTCGATAATTATTCAATAATAATTGATGCAGTTAACATTTACCAGTTTTTGGCTCTCAAAACAATATTCTATAACTAAATTTATACGACTACGTTTGAGGTCAGCATCATTTGTTACTGTTGTATGATAACACAGCCTTATTTCTCATAAATCATCTAATCATATAATTTAGCTTAAATTTGCATCAGTGCATTATTTTATAAATACAAAGATTCAGTGATAGCACAATGTCTGTTTCATTCCATCTTTGCCAATCTTTTCTTGACCAAGGACAACTATGGTATTTTTATTTTTAATACGGAACTCAAGTTTAAGAATAGTGAACTGTTTGATTATTTTAATATGCTTTATTAGTAACCACAATATGTAGGTTTAAGTAATATAAACCTTACAACCAAAGCAGAAAAACCTTGTTCACATAAAAAGATCGTGGGGAAGACTGCCATACAACGCATGGCAATGTGGCGAGTTTTGATATATGAAACGTCCTTTTTGCACCAAAACTCCTCAAGCGAAATAGATTGAAACATATTTTTGTAGTTTCTATCA